GTAGCACCGTATCTATAGTACAGATACTGTTCGATGCCTCCTTTGTTCTCGCGCGATAATTTTTGTAAATCTTTGGATTTTATACTTTCCACACTTTTGCCGGCCACTTTTACGTACGGCAAAACGCGCATTTCCACTCGACCGATCTGCTCGATCTATATTCAATCGCCCGCTCCTGTCTCCATTCTTTCGTGTATGTATATAATATACAGTAGTATCCACACACACACACACACCACACATATTATATTTCTTGTAGAGTTTCTACACATCTGCGCGCGTTTAACATATTTTGTGCAAGAGTATGTATGGTTAATGATATTTTATTCGATAGATGCATGTGTTTTTGTGTGTATGAGTGAGCGAGCGAATTATATGATAGCGTGTTCTTCGTGCGAATGATTATATGTGTTTTTTATATACGTATTTGCGTATATGCCTGTTTTTTGCAATGTATGCAAGTCTATCTGAGCGTATGCAACCTGTATGGGCGAGAGCTTGTCTCCTGCGCTGTAAAATAGTATTTTTTTATAACATGACGACACGGTGGCGCGTAAAAAATCGTATCGATGGGGGCGAATTTGTGCGAGATGAAATTTCTCACGTACACTTCCGTGAGAGGGAAAGCTGTCGGAAAGAGGTGTGTACAAAGACTTCGACCCTTTAGCCGGTGCGGTATCCGATTTCCAACGAATTTTCAAACTCCGCATATATATTTTACGCAAATGCCACTAATTTAAATATTCAAAATTATATTTTATATGATTATGAAAAAAAAAAAAAATTGTCTGATTTTAATTGTATGTGTAACGTTACCTCTATCCCTTTATATTTAATCTCTTAGAATATACTAATGCGTATCTATAAGCAGATGCTTTAAATTATAAACATTTATTATAATTTTAAAGTAAGGGGATAAAGCGTAACGTGAATATCTATGCTTACGAGAGACATATAATATCACGTTGTACATTAAATTCTTTCATTGAAATTATAATTACATCCGCTATGTAATTACGATTGTCGATTAATTATTCATAGCCGCTTTTTGTTCAACGAGCGTTGGAATTACTCGTCAACCTTCGATGAAAATGTATATTTTGTACCACTTTTTTTTTTTATATATGGACGCTGTGTGACAAAGGGGTCGAAGATCGATGTTGAATTATCTCGTATCGCTACGAAAGATCCACGTATTTAGATTAAACACAATTCGATGCACGTCATACTGCCAACCAACCGAGCGAGTGTGCAACCGCGGGCCCGCGCCTTCAATTTCGTTCGATGCCGAATTATTAAG